TGCTGGTCTCTAGCCCATGTTAGGGAAGACAGTCGCGATCAGCTTTCTTTGTGTACTCAAATACAAGCTTGCTTTAATTTGATTTAAAATTGGAGTTGGTGGTCTTTTCTTTGTGTCAGGGTTCAAAAAAAAAAAGTTCACTGCCTTTTACTGTGCAACTTGCACAGGTACTCTTGTGCTCACATTGAATCCTCACACAGAAAAATACATATCTGTTTACCTAACAATATGCCACTGTCACTCTGATTTCCTCACCCTTGCCCCAAAATGGGAGACACACAGTCCTCAAAATTGTGATAATTAGACGAATGTGATGGTGCACACTTGTAATCTGAGCAACTTGGGAGGCTAAGGCAAGAAGATGCAAGTTCAAGGCCAGCTTCATTAATTTAACTAGACCCTGTCTCAAAATAAAGTATAAAGAAGGTCTGGGGATACAGCTCGGTGGCAGAGCACCCCTGATATCTGTCATCAGTACTAAATCATCATCATCATCATTATCATCATCATCATCTAAGCCTTCTCTGGATGGCTTCTCCAAACTCCTTCCACAAACTGATTCCGAAGGCGTCTGAGCCACTGGCCAGGGGTACTCACTGAAACAGCCCCCCTCCAGCAACCATTGTCTGTTAATCACCTTTCCATTGCTGTGAAAAATGCCTGAGGTCATCAGCCTAGAAGGAGGAAAATTGACTTTGGCTCATAGTCCCAGAAGTGTCAGTCCATTGTCATTTGACCCCTTTGTTTGGGGCCTGTGACAAGCAAAGTACCATGATTGACAGTGTGTGGCCCAACAAAACTGCTCCCCTGGGGCACCAGGAAGCAGAAGGAAGGAGAAAGGAGGGGCCAGGATCCCAGCTCTCCTTCAGGGCACATCCCATGACCTCACTTCCTTCCTTGAGTTCTGAGGTCACACCACCTGCCACAGTGCTGCAGAGGGCGGGTTTGGGATGAGTAGGCGGAACACAGGACATCTTAGTGCAGAGATGGGTAGGGTGCCATAATCTTAGACACAAGTCATTGTACATTTGTCAGAATTCACAGAATATACAACACAAAAGTGAATTCTCACGTGAAATATGGACTCTGGGTGACAATGATGTGTCAGTGTTTGTTTCTTGATTTTTGACAAACCTACCACAGTCATGGGAGTCAACTGTGCAGAGGCTGTGTGTTGGGTCAGTGGGAGGGTGTATGTGGGAACTCATTCAACTTTTCCATGAACCTAAAATTTCCCTAAAACTTAAAATCTACTCATTTTAAAAAACAAAGAAGAAGAAACTAACTTCACACAAAAGCTGAAGAAGTAGGCTCAAAAAAAAGAATGTATCTATGAACTCTGAACACAATGCATGAAATCCTGCATCCAATTTGAGATTGTGAGAAGCTAATAGTAGCATAATAAAGGAAAAAGAAGACCATGATTTGAGGGGAAAAATTTATGCTTTTTATTAAATTTTTAAAAATTGTGATGCCTAATGAGTCTTTAGGGTTTAATTTTAAGGCTATTTTAAAATATGGAATAAATTACTTTTATGTTTTAAAAAATGGGTACTGAGTGTGATATCAAAAAGTTGGAGGAGTAGGAGACGCCATCCTTCTTGCCCCACAAGGAGAGATATTTAGATAACTATCTGTGACTGCAAAGAGCCTTGGGAGGCTCAAGATTTATGGTGATCCCAAAGTAACACAATGTAGAAAAAAAAGAAAGAAAGAAAAGTGGAGGACAACTGCATTGCTGAGGGAGAGGGGCACACCTGAGATATCTGCAGATGGCCAGGAACAAGTGGTGAGGGCTGTCAGTATCAGCTACAGGGTGGGTGCACCAATGCCTGTTGCTGCCGCAAACTCCAGGATAGGAAACACTGCGTACATAACTCCCCCAAGAAAGTCCCCTTTGGTGCTGTCCTGATGCTGTGATCTCCATCCTTATCAGCCCTGCACATCCCCTATACCCCAGGGCAATGGCCACTCCACACACACCTGCACTCCAGATCTTGGCTCTGCAGACACACTACATTGTCTCTGGCTGTGGACTCCTCTCACTATTCCTTAAACTCAAGTTCCCAGACTCAAATATCAGAGGCACTGCCGTAGTGAGCTAGCCCACACCCTAAACCCAGATCCATTATTGCTCCACGTTTCCAATGCCAGCTACATGACTACTCCATCAGCACCTGTGCTACAGACACTGGAGCTGTCAATAAAGCAGACATGTTCATATTCCAGTCTTCAGGGCAGCAGTGATTCAGCAAATGCCCACATTCCAGACCCTGCTTTTGCAGCTGTTCCAGAAGCACCTCAACTCTGACCCAGGGCCACCGTAGCACTGCACACATACATAGGCATGGGTGCGCACACACACACACACACATGCTGTCATGCACTTGTAGCTTTCAAACCATTACCAACATGGCAGCATGGGGTGCCTACATGCTGCCTACCAGTACCACAGCTTCCCTGGACTCCAGCCCTGGTCTCTCCACATGTGCCTGCTCCAGACCTCAACTCCATCACTGCACCACAGGTGCCAGGTGTCAGACACCAGGACCACTGCTACTGTGCAAGCCCATGAGCCAGATCCAGTGCCAAGAGGATACCCTCAACCACATAACCCCCACAAAAGAAAAGGAGATCAGGGGGACCCCAGCAGCATTCACCACCAAAACCCGCAGCACTGACTGCCACTTTAGATACCCAGAGCTATGGCAGATGAGGACCCCTGAAATCACTGCTAACATCCTCATTAGATAGAACTACACAGGGACTGTGCCTCTATGTGTTCCCTGGAGTAGAAACTACCAGTTCACCCAACCAGCACTCATCCATAGGAGAAAACATTCTCCCACAAACACCATCCTCTAAAATCTGGGAGTGGTGACTGCACCATCCAATGTACTTATATTAATGAAAAAAAGGAAAAAGAAAGAAAGAAAAACTGAAGAAACATGACACCAGCCAAGTAACCATAATTTTTGAGTACCAACCCCAGAGAAATGGAAATCTATGAACTGACTGGCAAATCATTCAAAATATTTGTTTTAAGGTATTTCAGCAAGAAAGAAGGGGGCACAGAGAGATGACACAGTGAAATCAGGAAAACATCCTACCTACAAAATTCAACATAAAAAAGAACCAAACAGAATTCTAAACTGAAGACTATAATGAAAGAAATGAAAATTTCAATATAGAGTATCCAAACCAGAATTTATCAAGTAGAAAAAAGTGTCTGTCAACTCAGAAAATATTCAGAGGAGAAAAAGTAAAAAGAATGGCAATGAAAACAACCTCCAGGACTTATAGGGCACCATCAAGAGAACTACCATTTGCATTATGAGCGTCATTGATGAGGAGACAGAAAGCTTACCTAAAGAAAGAAACTGGAACATATGAACATCCAGGTATAGGAAATTAAAAAGTTTCCAAACATGTTCAACGACAGAGACATTAAACATTAAAACAGCATGGTATTGGCATAAAGGATCAAGGTAGCAAAATATAAGTACATGAATAACCCAAGAATTCACAACCACTGATTCTCAACAAAGGAGTCAAAAACATACAATGGAGAAAAGATAGCCTCTTCAATAAATGGTGCTCAGAAAACTGAATATACACATGCAAAAGAATGAAACTAGACCTCTCTTACCCTGCACAAAACCAACTCAAAATGAACCAAAGACTCCAACTATGAAAATACTAAAATAAAACAAAGGTAATACTTCAATATATTAGAGTAGGCAAAGATAATTTGAATGGGAGCCCAAAGCAAAGGCAACCAAAGCAAAACTAGACAAATGGAATTACATCAACCTAAACAGCTAAAGAAACAATCAACAGAGTCAAGAGACAACCTACAGAATAGGATAAAATATTTGCAAACTGTTTATCTGACAAGGGATTAAATTCCAGAATTTGTGAGGAACTCAAACAATTCAGTAGCAAAAAAAAAGAAGGAGGAGGAGGAGGGGCAGGGGGAAGTAATAGTGGACGAAGAAGAAGGATGGCTATTATCAAAAAGACAAAAAAATTACCAATGTTAGTGAGGATATGGAGAACGAAAACTCATACCTGTTGGTGGGAATATAAATTAGTACATCCACTATTAAAAAAACCCCATGGAGAATAGCATGCTAAGCGAAGCAAGCCAATCCCAAAGAACCAAAGGCCGAATGTTTCCTTTGATAAGTGGATGCTGATCTATAATGGGGGGCAGGGGGGTAATGGAAGAATGGAGGAAATTTGGATTGAGCAGAGGGGAGGGAAGGGAAGGGTGTTGGGTGGGGGAAGATGGTGGAATGAGATGGACATTATTACCCTTATGTATGGGTATGATTGCATGAATGGTGTGATTCTACATCACCAACAACAGAGAAATGAAAAGTTGTGCTCCATTTGTGCCAAAAATTAAAATAAAATTAATTAATTAAAAAACAAACCTCATGGAGCTCCCTCAAGAATTAAAAGGAAAGCTACCATATGATCCTGCAATCCCACTACATTATATTTTTCAAAGGAAATGACATCATTACATTAAAAAGATACCTGACTCTGATGTTTATTGCAACACTATTCACAATAGCCTACCTATGGAATCACCCTAAGTATCCACTAACAAATGAATAAAGAACATGTGGAATGTATATCCAATGAACAGCTGTTTACCATTTAAAAAATGCATGAAATCCCGTCATTTGTAGGACTGCGGATAGAACTGAAGATAACAATATTGAGTAAAATAAGTCAGGTACAGAAAGACAAATACCACATGATTTCACTCCACTAAGTTCTTTAAATGAATTGGACAACTTTACCAAACCAGCAAAACTCTTTCCAGGATGTTTCCCAAAGGATTCTGACATTGTTGTCATTTGTGAAACAGATGAAACTGGAGAACATTATGTTAACTGAAATAAGCCAGGTACAGAAATACAAATATGGCAAGTTCTCAATCATTTGTGGAAGGTAAAAAACTTTGTCACATAGAAGTAGAGACTAGAATAAAATTAACTAGAGACGGGAAGGGGACAGAAAGTGGAGAAGGTAAGAAAGTACCAACCACAGAGTAGAGAACTATCATCTACAGCCATTAATTAATTGTACATCAAAAATGTAAAGGAGGAAAAAAGAGAAAAAATAGAGGAGAGTTTGAAGCTTTCCAATAGAAATTATAATATTTGAGAAAATGGAAATTCTGTGTACCCTGATTTGGTCATTATGCATTATATGCATGTATTGAATTACAACAGTAAGTTCCATATATAAATGCAAATATCATATCCCAGTTTAAAAACTTTGGAAAAGCAGAAATAAGAAATTATTTTTAAAAGTTTTTACAGAAAGAAAATTGGCTAAAGGTATTGATTTCTAGTGAAATTGAGAACCCAGAGATTAGCCATCTGGTTTCCTATGATTCGGTTAATCTGTTACCAAATTTAGAGATTCTGAGGTTTGGAATTATTCCAACGGAAGTTGTTTATTTCTTCACTTGTTAAGCTTCACTGACCAAGGGGAACCTCAGGCCCCCAGAAATAAATAAAAGCCCTGTGTTTCACCATCACTGACCGCTCACCATTCTACTGGGCACACAACCATGAGATTCCGTTCCCTTCTTTCTTTTCTCTTCCTCTTTGTGACTATAACACCAAAAGGTAAGATGGTGAAATGATTGTAGAGGTGAGTTCTTAAGAAACCCACTCAGATGCACAAATCTCTGATGCAATACATGGCCTTGGGAACTCAGAAGTCTAACATGTCCCTAGAACTGATGAGGTCAAAATTAAGGAGCAAACCAAAGAGTTCCATTTCTAAGCTCCATGATTAGAAAATAGGACCCAAGTAGAGAACTAGAAGTACAGAACCCTGGCCATGAGACTTAAGGCTTAATATAAAAACTGGGGCACAAGGGCACCAGTCTCCTAAAAGGAAAACAAAAATGGCAGCCATTGGTTCAGACTTGGTTATGGAAAGGAAGAATATGGAGTCTATTAGTGAAAAACATATGTGAAAGGTAAAAGTTAGGCCATTAAGATAGAGCTCAACAAGAAAGGATTGCATCAAGTTACACAACACCAGTATAAATTGAGGATCAGAGGAATTTGGAGACAATACAAACAATGGAATGAAGCTCCAAAGAAACAAATTTATAAGCATAAGACATATGATTCAGAAGTTTGAATGTTAAAATGTGGAATCAAAGTGAGAAGGTAATATGATCATCTCTGGCTGTTTCATCCAGATCCTGGCAGACCTGACAAAATTTTCTCCATTATTTATGGCAAGATGTTCACATCTTTCAAACTAATGTCTGTGGGCACTGATTTCTTTCTTGATTCATCTCTAAAATTCTTTTAAGTGCAATTGAAGCCACTCACTTGTTTGATCTTCTGAAGCTGTTAGAGAGTCATTTGCTCCATTGCTCTATATGTCTATGATAATGTCAATAAGTCTGAAAATAAATTTCAGTATCTAAGAAGGAATATTCTTCCTTATGAATCAAGTAATTTTATATTATCTTCTTGACTTGAGCAAGTGCCATGGGCATGTCACAGTCATTGGCAAAAGACTGGCAAAACAACTCTTTGGCTTTCTGTTCTGAAGATACTGCCTTAAATTAAACGTTACATTTAGCAGGAAGCACAGCACCAGTGGGATGAATCATTTTTGCTCCTTTTTTAGCACAGTTCATACATTCCACCTCACTCTGCATGGGATACCTCCAAGTTCATATGACACAGGACTGCCTCTGTTTGTCTGGTACTAATAACTCTTCACTTTAGCTTCATTAAAAACCTGTCAGCTGGGTTCAGTCGTGCATAATTCCAGCAACTTAGGAGGCTGAGGCATGAGGATCTCAAGTTCAAGGCCAGCCTCAGAAACTTTTTGTTTCAAAAAAGAAAAAAGGGCTATAGATATGTCTCAGTGGTAGACCACCCCTAAGCAATCTCCAGTACCTCAAGGGGGAAAAAAAGAAAAAGCAAAACTTGTAAATGTTATCAGATATTGCACTAAATGCATGGGAAGTAACAAGACCAACAGCGGCACCAGGTCCAGCAGGCCACTGAGCAGGAAGTCTGCGCCCTGTGAAGACCCAGAGCTGAGTAGTGTTTTCCATGATTGGCTGGCGAGACTGTTCTTTCCATGAAAGATAGCCACTTTCTCTTCCAGAAAAAGCGGGCAGAATGGGAAGTATTAGCAGGATATTACCCAACTCCCCTATCATTCCATTCTCTTTGCTGCACAAAGACCCTGAGTTTCTAATCTACTACCTAACAGCAGAGTGTAAGAAAACCACGCTGGGTGGACGCTGCCTTGGAGGGTGCACTGGCTCACCTGACTGGAAATATTTTACTACAGAGTAGAGAAACAATAATGATAACCTAGAGTTTAAGTATAAAACAACAACAAAAATATTCAGATCCCAAAAAGCCATCAAACTGTTCGTCAAACCATAGAGGTTAGGCTATCTTTCACGGAAAGAACAGTCTCGCCAGCCAATCATGGAAAACACAGAGTTCTGAAGTGAGAACAGTTAAAATGAAGGATTGGTATATTTCTGCAAAAGGAGATGAAGTGAGACCATATGCCATTTGACAGGCATGACACAGGCACAGACAGGAATAAGGGTGGGTACCACTTTTGAAATGGTGCTTCTTGGTGGACATTGTGCATTGTAGCACTGTGCATAGAACAATCTGTTGGAGAAGAAACTTACAATACTGTGCCTTACCCACTAAATTCCTCAGGGAACTTCCTAGTCAAGCAACAGTAACATACAGTCCCACACCTTTCAAAATGTACTGCTCCAGGCAAAGGCTATATCTCTGAAATCTTTTAAAAATCAGCCTACCCCTCCAAGGTGCGTATAATCCCACACTTTGAGACCCTCTCCCTAAAAATGTTGAGCTTCATCTGTATCCAATCCTTTCGTGTAGGCAATATGTGTCCCCTATTCCAAAGCCATCCTTCTGGAGGTTTATTGCTTTATGTACATTTCCAACCATTTGAGAGTGAATTAATGATTGTCAAATCTCTTTCTGTGCAGGAAAGACTGGTGTTATCCCAGGAGAAAAGCAGTGCATCGCTTTGCAAGGGATGTGCAGAGATTTCGCATGCTCACCTTTAGATGACACCATTGGTGTGTGCAATAATGAGAAAAAGTGTTGTAGAAAGTGGTGGATATTTGAACCCTACCCAACACCAGTTCCCAAAGGAAAATCTCCTTAGACTGGAGCAAACTGGAAGCCCTTCGAACTCTGGAATGCATGAGCAACTGCAAACATCTTGAACCAAACTTACTTTTCTCCCTTGACCACAAATAAATATTGTCCTAACTCCACAGGTCCCTGGGGTGTTTCTTCTCAATGTACATTCAATCCTCTTAAAAATGAAAAGAATAGCCCCATGTGGTAGCCCCTGTCTGTAATCCCAGCAGCTCAGGAGGATCTCAATTTCAAAGCTAGCCTTAGCAACTTAACAAGATCCTAAGCAACTCAGTGAGACCCTGTCTCTAAATAAATAAAATATTTAAGAAGGGCTCAGTGGCTCAGTGTTTAAGTACCCCTGGGTTCAATCCCCAATACAAAAAAAAAACTACAAGAGTAATCTAACTTATAGAAGAATTTCATAATCTGAAGACATTTATAAAAAATTCAAGTTTTTAAGGAAAAAAAAGATAAAAATCTTAAATATGTAAAATAATAAGAGTATGAAACATCAATTGATGGAGTTGGCTATCTGAAGTAGAATATCAACCCTCTTTGTTCTCTAGTTCTGGAAAAAATATCGTTTTGAGGGGCTGGGGATGTGGCTAAGTGATAGAGAACTTGCTTAGTATGCACAAGGCCATACGATCAATTCCCAGCACAACAACAATGACATTTACTATTAATAGAGATCTACTCTGAGCATAGGGGCTAAAGCTGGCTAATCATACAGCCTTGTTAACAGTGCTCCCAAGAATTGGGCACACAGGTTTGGGCCATAATCCCAAATGACAATCCTAATTTTTGAAATCCAAAAAGATTAAAATTCCTAAAGTCTACAATTCCAAAAGATCAAAATCCCTAAGATATAATTCTGGAAAAAAAAATTTAATTATTTAAGTGGAACTTATTTATATTAAAAGGAGGATTAATTTGAAAACATGTAAAAGCATGACAGAACATTTCATGAGCCAGTTTACCCCCCCGCAAAAAAAAATAGGCAAGAATAACACACATTTTTGCAAGCATAAAACTCAGGTATATTGGTGGCAGTTGCACAAGTATAACAATTATGAACAGATGAAGTATATTCATAAAGAAATTAGCCAAAAAGTGAAATGTATAAATACCACTCTGGTTAATGACCCTGCTTTATAGCTGTGGTCATTCGAAATACCATGATGAACAACTTAAGTCTACTGACAAGACCAATCAAAAACTGCAATGAGTCCCCAAAGTATATGCAATCACCCAAAAAGTCAAACTCTCAAAAAATTTTCTTTCACTAATGCAGATGTACAAAACAAGTATATATCTTCACTTACTAGTAAAGGTTCAACATTTCTATGTACAGGCACAATATTAAAACACAATATCAGTGTTGTGATAATATGCTTTTGTGGAGTCAAGTTTGCAAAAAAAAAAAGAAAAATGCATAAAGGGAATTAGAACTCTGTAAAAGTCTTTACAGAATTTATAACTCTGGTATAGAAAATGATGGAAAGATTTCTGTGGCCATAGAAAATTATTTTTTTAAATGCTGACAATTTAAATTAGTAGGGAAAAAAACTTTAAAAAAAAACTAAAAAGAAATTTTGACAGGAAAAAAGTCAAATAGGTTGTGGGCATTTGTGTGAAGGTAGTCCTTGAGAGCTGACCAACCTTCAGAATTGTGAATATTAACTTTGTGTGGAAGTGTTACAACGTGATGAACACCTACCATATTTTCCTTCACAGCATGGCCGTTCTCAGAGAAAATGTCACATTGATTTTCTAGATGAGGTCTCTCCTTTTGATATTCTTTTATGAGTCAGCATACACCAATATAAGCATTTCCTAGTTAATTTTTCTATCTTCTGTGTCATGCTTCTAAATTGTTTTGTGTACATGGAAATCATTCTGCATGTTCCCATATACAGACCAAAATGGCAGAAATATTAGTGATTGAACAGCAATACCATTTCATAAGTGTCTTCCTAATTCTACTAAGCACAAAATTGTTTCGAAGCACTCAGTAATTAATGGCTTCCTCGGGCTAATTCACTGAAAGCTTCTGGAATCTCATCTGTTAGAAGGAATGAAAATTCAGGCAAAGGAGGCATTTTTAAATCAAGGTCTTCTTCATTGCTGTATTGCATTTCCAATCCTTTCCCCAGGATTCAGCTTTTTATCCCTTTTTTACAGCCTGATCCTGGCTAAGGGAATTTCAGCTTCCAGGATTCAATATCAAGAATTTTAGTTTTTCAGGATTTTAGACTTAGGATTTTTAAATCTTAGGGATTTTGATCTTTCGGGGTTTTGTTTGTTTTTTTTTTTTTTTTTAGTGGTTAAAATGTATTTGATTAAAGAAATCTAAATGCTCAAAATCCATAGTGCAGAGAAACATGCAAACTCAAATGAACAGGCTGAGCACGAAGCCTCGCAGCTGAGACAAGCTGTCCTGTGTTCCTTTTCTGCGGAGAGTGCTTGTGGCCTGGTCCTTTTCCAGATAACCGAGCCATAGCTTCCACGAAGGAGTCCACTTGCATAAGGGAAAGGCCCTTGGTGCAGTTCAGGTGTATGGGAACGTCATGCAGGAGGCCAATGCCCGAGGGAGTCCTCTTCTCCGGCTTACCAAAGAACGTTTCCAAACTGTCCCATTTCAACAAGGAGTCTTAAAATGAACATTCATAAAATCAGACAGCAGCAACAAAATACTAAAAAATACTTAAAGTTTCAACACAGTAAGTACATTCTTAAAACTTTATCATACTTTAGAAAATATAAAAATACAAAACTTTGCATAAAACTGACTATATTTTTAATGTTTTCCTTTAGGTATATTTCTCAAAAACTTATAGACTAAAATCAAACCAAATATTGGTTTTATTAATATTGCAGAAACAAGTAATTCCATGAGAAAACAGTTGAAGAGGTCATACATTCACTGCCCAACATGCTCAGATAATGGCACAGGTGCACCACAGGCAGGAGACTTGAGGGATACCACCCGATATCTTTCCCCTAAATAAACCCAGAGTAGGTAACATCCAAACCCATTCAGATGCTAAACAATAAATTCCACAGATGCCTACAAGAGGCGGCTGGTCTGGAGGAGCTGGCTCCAGTGTTCAATAGGGAAGGCAGTGTGGTGGCAGTGTAGCCACTGGTCCAAGAGCCACTGTGGGTAAACAGCCCAGATGTTGGCAAAACATTTTGTTTCTAATAACAAATTTCAGTATTCAAACAATAAATAACATTATTCCATTAACTTTTAAGTTCTAAAAACAAATGAAACCCTCAAAACATATAAACTTATTGCTATATTTGAAATAATTTACAACATTTTTGTAAAGAGTCCAAGGAGTAATTTAAAGATGCACACCTTTACTGAAGGGAGCCCAGCTGAGCTGCTGCAAAGAGCAACATCAGGGCCTGGAGAAGTAATGGTACAGTCCCACACCAACAGCCTCAATTCCCATCGGCCAATTGTCATTTCAGCTCTTACAGCTTCCCACAGATGTTTTAGAGAAAGGTACTGCATCTTTATTGTACAGGTACAGCAGTTTTAAGGGGACAAAGCCCAAGTCAAGACATTACCAACTCTAATCGATACAATTACCAAAGCACGACAGGATCAACAAGAAGCACAATCGTCAGAGAACCACAAGCAGCAGTCGGCCATGACTATACTATCGTACGCATACCACCAGTCTAGAGCCAGCCTTCGGTGGAGAGCCTGCACTGGGTTGGCTGGAGACGGCCGCTGTCCCTGCACCAAAGCGCTTGGACAGCAGAGGAGAAGTCTTAGTCACTTACCCTCAGAGGCTACCCATGCGGTCTAGACCAGGTGTTGGTTACGCTCACACTCTAACACCTGAAGGTACATAACGATTATCTTGTGAGGGTGCTTCACGTGGACACAGAAGCCCAGCTCCTTGAGGACTCGCCTTTCTGCCTTTATGATCTGGTTCTTCAAGTTGACATAATCTTGATCCAAAAGAAGAGGCACAGGCTTCTTTTTTTCTCTCAGGTGTCGAAGGCGATGAAACACGTTGATGACGTCCCTAATTCGTCTGGGAGCCTCTTCTATTTTGGAGGCCAGGTGCACACAGGCCATAGACACATGCTCCATGGAATGCTTCACGAAGGACTTGGTGTAAAAGAACCGCTGGAACAGCACCTGTCCCGTAGCCATGGCCACCTGCGGCAGGCGGAGCAGGATGCCGGCCGCCTGGATGAGCTCGCAGCCCACCACGCGGAGACCGGTCTCCGTGTCGGTGTCGAGGCCGCTCGACATTGGACGGCGTGAAGCGGAGCTTGTCGTCTGGCAGCAGGCAGTTCTCCAAGGTGATGAGCACGCCAGAGTACAGCCTGTCCCCGATCAGCACTCCTTGCGACCCGGGCGCGGCGCCCCCCGAGCTCGGGGTGCCGGCCGCCGTCCCGGGGACCGCCGACCCCGGAGCTCCGGCCGCCGCCGCCGCCGCCGCCATTTTGTGCCGCCGACTCCTTTTTTCTCTTTCGGGGTTTTGACATTTAGGATTATGGAGTTCAGGATTCTCTTTGTTGGGATTATGATCAGTACCAAGGGACTCTACTTACCCCCAGTCATGCCAGTAGTGAACCGGAGAGATCCCCTTCACTATACCCTACTTCTGGAGAAATAGAGAACCTGCACCCTACAAGTAGGCTCATCAGGAGGAATAGGGAAGCTGGAGCCCAGAGGAGCTGAGAATTTAGCATGCCAAATTAGTTCTTTCCAACTACACCATTGCACAATACCACTTTCTAGAGCTAAGAAAATTAAAGAGTGAGGAAGAGACCAGGGGTGGTACATGACATGAGTCCCAAGAAAATGGAATGACTCTTCGAGAATGAGGCCAAATTATCACATAAATAAATTTCAAGCCTTCTCGTTTTCTTTACCACAAAGTCAATTCAATGAATCAGGAGAAGGTAAGTTATCTCCCTAAACAGAGGCAACATCGGAGTCCTCCTGAATTAACTTTAATCCCATCTTTCTGGATCTGTTTTTTAATAACC